GCACTGTAAAAAGTTCCAGATCTGATAATGGTAAAAAGCACCGGTACTCGGAATGCTACCGTAAAATCCATTCTTATCAGAATTATTAAGGAACAAATATCGGATATACCGTATTTTTTCCAGTTATAATTACAGTAAAATCACTGAATTACTATAATAAAATTAATATTACTGTAAAATTTAAGGTATATTTTTTCGGTAAAAATGGATTTTACGGAAAAGCAAATAAAGTGCTAGTACTTAATAACGTAATTTAATACCGAATTTTTAAAGTGTAGATATTTGTGTCATTTTATCCAATTTTCATAAAACATGTCTTAGATATTCCCAAATACGATAATATCACAAACGCATAATTTCCTTCATCAATTTCTTTTAATTTCAAAATGTTAGCCATTAAGATGGAGCGTCTGCTTTGCAAACAAATTTTAGTGTTACTAACCAAAACTGTGAAATACAGCTCGATTTATAGCAAAAGAAATATCTATGTAAATATTTTTTTTTACTTATTGGTAGTTTTTTTTTTAAATATGAAATGTAATTCGAATTTTGGCATATAAATGGTTTAACACGAATTTAAAAAAAATCTTTTTTTCTAACTCCACGTGCGTTTCTCTTCAATTCTTTTTACGAAAACCTCTTTTTTTTTCTTCGGAATTTTTACTATTCTCTTAGGTACGTGAAACAGATCAAAGTGCATTGCTCTGAGATCGGCAATTTGGCATACAGAACTTCATGGTCCGCCGCAACACGAATTATATTCCATCGCCACGTGCCGACAAGATCGTCCGACCTTTTCACTCATTTAATTACCATATAGAACAAACCCTTCGGAACGAGTTCAGAAGAGGGGGAAAGAACATCACCAGAAGTTCTACAATCGAAAAAAAAAAAGAAGAAGAAATTGGGACTACTTAAAATAAAATAATTCGGAAGAATCCCTATGAATCAGATCCTTTGGAATCCGGCCGTAATTTCCTGTCGGCCATCGTGGATTCCCAGTTGTTTTAAAGCTTTTGTTTTAGAGTTTTTCTCTCATTTCTTCCCCCTTCCCTTGTTTTCGTTTGGCGAATTGGATTCGCCTGAAGGATTGCTTTGGTTGATATATAAATAAGTGGAGTTGTGGTCCAGAAGGTCACGAAAGCACACTACTTGCGATTTTTTGATTTATTTCTTCGTTTTGCATTGAATTTTTTTTTAAAAAAACGCAATTTTTCCCCAATTCTATAAAAAGAGTGAGTTTTTATTTTATTAATCCTTAAATTGTATTTCATTGTGTATAATAACTAGATTTTTTACATTGCATTAATTTAAATATTTATTTACTTATTTATTAGCAATTCCTTAAGCGTATTGGATTCGCCTTATAATGGCATCCGAAGATATAAGTTCGAAAGTCTAGTTGTGGCCTTGGAGGTCGGGTTCAGACTTAGGAATTTCTTTTTTAATTAAAACCTAAGTGTTTTCAATTCCATTATGTTTATTTAAATTTTATTAATCTTCAAATCGTATTTGATTGTGTATAGCGATTTGAGTTTTAAAGACAACATGCAATTCATGATAAATTGATATTCGTCTTTGAAACTTAATAATGGAGTCTAAAGAGCTAAGTAGAAGTGAAATTTTGAAACTACTAGTGAAAAAGTAGGTTAAGGAAAATTTTGAAAGTAGTTTTTTGTTTTATTTCTTTTTTTCTGCATTGAATGTTTTTAGGTAAAACTCCTGGTTTTTAGGTAAAAAAATTGTTATTCAATTTTTGCTCTATTAGTCAGTTTTTATTGTATTGAATTTTAAAGTTTATTTGATCGTGTATATTGATTTGAATTTTAAAAACATTGTATGTTTCAAGATGAATTGATATCCGTTATAATCTCTAAGAGCTTAATCTTGTTGTTGTTGAAGTTTATTAAAAAATTTATTAGAAAGCTTGTTAAATGAAATTGTCAAACCACTAGTGGAGAAACATGTTAAGAAAAACTTTGGAAGTAATTTTTTATTTTTCTACGTTTTTATGATTTTTTTTAAATAAAATCCAATATTTATTCAATTCTGTTATGTGAGTTAGTTTTTATTTTAATATTATTTAAATTTTATTTAATCGTGTATAAAGATTAGAATTTTAAAAACATTATTTGCATCATGATGAACTGATATTCGTTATAATCTCTGAAATTAATTTTGGTGTTATTGTAGTTTTTTAAAGAGCTCAATTAAAAAAACATGTTAAATGAAATTTTGCCACCCACTAGTGGGAAAAAATGTCAAGAAAAATTTTGGAAGTACTTTTTTCTACGTTTCTTATTTCTTTTAAAAATAGAACTTAATTTTAATTCAATTCTGTTACGTTAGTTAATTTTAATTTTATTACTCTTTATATTGCATTTAATCGTGTGTAATGGCTAGAATTTTAAAAACATTATATATTTCACGATGAATTGATATTTGTCATAATCTCTGAAACTTAATACTGGCGATATTTTCGTGTATTTAATATATAACAACATGGAAAATAAAATTTTGAAATCAGTTGTGAAAAAACTTTTAAGTGAAATTTTCGCATATTTAGTTCACCGGAAGGATACCTCCAAAAAATATACAAATATTAGTATTGACTAGGTGGTCGGTATAGTATCAATATTTTGCATTATTTCTCCGTTTTGTATTGATTTGTTTTGAATGAATCCTAATTACATTCAATTCTTTAAAGTGAGTAGGCTTTCATTCCAATAATTATTAAATGGCATTAGATCACGAATAATAAAAATTTTAAAAAATTTAAAATTATAAATTTTTATGAAATATAGAATCTATATTTTTCTAAAACTTAATATCATTGCAATGAATGCTTTCTTACAGGCATTTTAAAAATATACAATTAAAGTGAAGGCTACCAAATTCAACAACTCAATTCAATATAATAGGAATTTCAATGAATTGATTTTCACGTTCTAGGATTCAATCTTAAAGGCTTAAAGAGGTGACCTCAAATCAGTTAATTAAACCTCAAAATATAGAGGGTAGCCGCAACCTGGGAAATATGGTCCCCATATTTTGGTCAGAAGAATGGTCCAAAAATATGGACCCCTTAATGTTAATTTTCTTTTTAGTGTATTTCCCCATATCTCTACAATTTTTTATGCTAAATAAAAATTAAATGGTTATTAAATTATTTTTATGTTATAATTTATGCTATATTATTCATGATATTTTTTTGCGCTTTAATCACAAATGTATTAATAATTAAAAATTTATATTTCAATTAGAAATTAATTTAACTATCAGAAAATTCGGTTCAATATTATAATACAGGGCAAATTTTCTGCAAATTTATAGGTGTTTACATTGGACCACATTACTGGTCAAGTTAAAAAAAAAGTTTAATTTGTATGATAATATGGTTTAATTTAGGGTTTTAGTAAATTTGAATGATAATGTATTTTACACAGCAATATTCTTATTTCTTTTAAGCGTGGATGTTATAAAGTATATTTTTAAGCGTGGTATATTTGTATATTTTTGGATGCGTGGTGGATGTATATTTTTAAGCGTGGATGTTATAAAGTATAATGCACAGTGCGCAAAATAAAAAAACGGACCAACCTGGATAACTTTTGATCTAATGATCGGATCTTCCCGTTCAAGGACTCAATCTTAATGGTTTGAGGTACGAAATCAGACACAAAAAAGTACTTTCTTTGAATAAGCATATCTTTTTTTCGACGAGATTAATTCCTTACCCTCAAAATAAGAGGAGTAGCCCCACCCAGGAGAAAAAGGCTCTAATAATTTAGCCAGGCGTGCGGTACAAAGTTTGGACTATTTAATGATAATTTGATTTAATTTTATTTTATCATATATCTCGAACTTTTTAAGAGAACTTTTTACACACTATTATAAAATCGGTTTAACCAAAAATAATTATATGCATAATATATTTTAACAAGTATTTGTTTTATTAAAAAATAGTCGAAAAGATTTTGGAATTATAAGGTATTCAGTTTTATGCATCATTTTAAGGAACGCAATTTTATAAGGTAAAATGAAATGGGTCCATAAGTTTCTGAGGAATCGAATTTTAAAAAGATCGTAAAATTACTCTTTGACTAATTTTGATCCAGCATTGTATTTTGTCAGATGAAAATACATTCTTTAAAATTATTTAAACATTTTAATGCCTTATAACTCGAATGTTTTAGACCATTAATAAATAAAATAATAAATACTTATTAAAAATTATTTTTCCATGGAATTAACTTTGGTCGAAAGGATTTCATAATTGCTTGCAAAAAGCGTTGGAGTCACTTGAAAAATTTTCGAGGCATTAAAAGTAAGCAGAAAGTTGTTGTTGTCACTTATGTCACTTGCCAATACCAGCAAACCTGCAAGAAATCAAGCGATTTTTAAAATATGTTTTACAAGGAGTACCCAATCGTACTCCATTCATTCATCCACAGATTGTAATTTTGACCCTAACCAGAGAACGATCTATCTCCAATTCAATACCCTTCGGTGTATTTATTTGTTACGAGAACTTGGAGGACTTTGTGACCCCGACAAATTTAAAATCACCACCAAAAAAAAGCAAAAAATAAAATTAACATTTAAGGCTCGTAACTTCAGACTTCTCTCCTGATCAAATTATTGAGACCATATTTCCCAGATGTCGGCTACCCCCTTATATTTTGAGGGCATGTGTTTATTCAGAGACTGATTTTGTAACTTAAAATATCGTCTGCGTTAATTAATTAATATATTTGAAGTGATTTGCATACACCACGTAAACTGTCAAATTTAAGTCCCAGTACTTAAAAATACTAGCATTAAAATCAAAAGTTGTTCAGGGTGTTCCGTTTTCGTTCCTTGCTCACTACACAATTTAAAATATTATGTTTTAAACATATTTTGAAGGAAGAAATCGTATTGATTAAGATTAATTTTAAAGAGTCTAGAATCGATATATTATGCAACACTTTTTTATATGTGACTCGTTTTTCTTTCAGAATTTAAAGAAAGAATTTGTGACATTTAAAATTCGTGAAAGTCAAAATGATGCAGTGGAACACTATACTGTTTCTTATTCTGGCAACGGTCCCTTCAGCTTTTTCTAGGCACCTTGATTACGGAAAGACAAAGGTAAGATAACTTAAAAAAACTACATATTTTAATGGAAACTACATAATTTATATGGAAATTTGTGTTTAGACTAAAAAAAAATGTCTGCTACTTAAATGAAACTATTATGTTTAAAACTGTTACTAGTAGGAAAATTAGTGATAATAGTGATAGAATAAGAATTAGAGATGGAATAAGAATAAGTGATAGAATAAGAATTAGAAATGGAATGAGAATTAGGGATGGAATAAAAATAAATGATAGAATAAGAAGTAGGAATGGAATTAGAATTAGGGATGGAATAAGAATAAGTGATAGAATAAGAATTAGGGATTGAATAAGAATAAGTGATGGAATACGAATTAGGAATGGAAAAAGAATTAGGGACGGAATAAGAATTAGGGACGGAATAAGAATAAGTGATAGAATAAGAATTAGTGATGGAATAAGAATTAGGGATGGAATAAGAATTAGGAATGGAATAGGAATAGGGGACGGAATAAGAACTAGGGATGGAATAAGAATCAGTGATAGAATAAGAATAAGTGATAGAATAAGAATTAGGGATGGAATAAGAATAAGTGATAGAATAAGAATAAAATACATTAAGAACTGAATGATTAAATTAAATGATTTCAGAGAATCATTAATTCTGGTAAATAGATTCGGCGAAAACTTTTGTAGTATAAGTGTAAGAATTGTTACAGAAATTATAAACTTTTTTTTACATTTATTTTTAAATCTCACTGATTTGATTTGATTAGATACTTTACATCGAATTAAAGCTACACCAAAAAAAGAAATTCCGGATCAAATAATTGTATTAAAAACCGGCAATTTGGGTGCATCATCCGTAAAATCCATTTTTACCGTAAAAGAGCGTACCGTAATTTTTACAGTAATATTTATTTAAATCAGCGATTTTTCGTAAGTATTACTATAAAAATTACGGTGAATCAAATTTTTTTGTGCCGTGTTTGTATAAAAATGGATTTTGTAAAAAGTACCACCACCCATATTGCTGATACTTTTTATTGTAATTGGATGCGGAAATTTTTTACAGTGTACCCAAACGTTTTGTTGGTGACGATCTGAAATTGACAATAGGCGTGCTCTACATCAGTGATTCTTAATCTGTGTTCCGTGGCATGTTGTTATGTAACAAAATGTTGGCTTTCCAGCATAAGGATATTTGACTTATTTAAATAAGTTTGGTATTTTAAAAAGTCTTATAAATTTCGTAAATTTTGTATTTGTAAATGCATTAATGTGATTGTTCTTTATTGAATATCTTTCAAAAGAATAATGGAACGTAATATGTGAGGTGAAGCATTTTAAGATTTCAGAAACTGCGAAACGATTTTTACCAATATAAAATTTGTGAGACATTTTATATTTCTTATTTTGTTTTACTCATTATTCCTCGATTATTCACATAGCAATATAAATTAGACAACGCAACTATTCACCCAATTTAAATAGTATGTTGAGGCCCGGGATAGTCTGGTTGGTAGGACGTTAGGCTCATGTTCGTGAGAACGTGAGTTCAAATCCCACCGGCCGGAGAATCCTCGTGTATTAAATGGTGACTGGTTCAAGTTAAATCTGTCGGAGTCACAAAGTCGTCCAAGTTCCCGTAACAAATCAATACCTTTGGGGGTACTGAATAGCAGATTGATCGTTCTCTGATTCAGGGCAAAATTACGATCTATGGATGAATGATTAGAGGGAAATTGGGTCCTTCATGAGAAACGGGCTGTGACGTGTGTAAGGCTGAAGCCGTATTCTTGGATATAGATGATGCCATTAAAAAAAGAAGAAAAGTATCCTCTGTCTTAAAAATTCGCTTGATTTCCCAAGAAGACTTGCTGATATTGGCAAGTGGNTGTTCGAATTAAAATGGATTTTGCTGTAAAAAGTACCGTCACCTACATTGTTGATACTTTTTAGTTTAATTTGATGAGGAAATTTTTTTACAGTGTACCCAAACGTTTTGTTGGTGACGATCTGAAATTGACAATAAGGGCGTAGGCGTGCTCTACACCAGTGATTCTTAATCTGTGTTCCGTGGCATGTTTTCATGTAACAAAATGTTTGCTTTTCAGCATAAGGATATTTGACTTATTGAAATAAGTTAGGTATTTTGAAAATGCTTTATAAATTTCGGAAATTTTGTATTTGTAAATACATTAATGTGAATGTTCTTTATTGAATATCTTTCAAAGAAATAATGGAACGTAATATGTGAGGTGAAGCATTTTAATGAGTTCAATTTCAGAAACTGCGAAACGATTTTTGCCAATATAAAATTTGGGAGACATATTATATTTCTTATTTTGTTTTACTTATTATTCTTTGATTTTTTCACATAACAATATAAATTAGACAACGCAACTATTCACCCAATTTAAATAGTATGTTGAGGGCCGGGAGAGTCTGGTTGGTAGGTCGTCGGGCTCATGTTCGTGAGAACGTGAGTTCAAATCCCACCATCCGGAGAATCCTTGTGTATTAAATGGTGACTGGTGCACGTTAAATCTGTCAGAGTCACAATGTCCTCCAAGTTCCAGAAACAAATCAATACCTTTGGGGTACTGAATAGCAGATTGATCGTTCTCTGATTCAGGGCAAAATTACGATCTATGGATGAATGATTAGAGGGAAATTGGGTCCTCCATGAGAAACGGGCTGTGACGTGTGTAAGGCTGAAGCCGTATTCTTGGACATAGATGATGCCATTGAAAAAAGAAGAAACGAACCCTCTGCCTTAAAAATTCGCTTGATTTCATAAGCAGACTTGCTGATATTGGCAAGTGGCATATGTAATAGCAACAACGAATAGTATGTTGTAGACTTAAATTTATATAGATTTTTACTCATTTGGTAAAGATAATCGTCTTCATGTTTTTAGTATCACAAAAGGAATCTAAAGAAGTATATACCTGTCTTAAATGATAAATATTTTATCTGGTAAACATTAAACTGCGCAATCAATTTGAAACCTTTAGCACACTTCGCAAAAGCAAATTCTATTTTATGAAGGAGAAAAGGAAAAATACTGAAAATATTATTATCTTAGTTATCACCATGTATACATTCCATTTATTTATGATGCCACAACAAACATACCAAATTATGAAAACAAAAGTAACGGAAACAGTAAAGGGTGAATAAAGAGTAGCATTGGAGATTCCTTTTATTTTGTTAAAAGAAATCGTCACAGAAGAATGAATTATATTAGTTCGTAAACTTTTATTATTCTACTTAATTACGTACGAAAACAATCGAAGAATTTGAACGTAAGTTATCTAAACTTTCAACATCGATTTTTGCTATTTATTTAACTGAAAAAGTAATATTGGTTAAATATTCTTTTTCCTTCATCTTATTCATTTTTTATATAATATTAGTGATATTTTATAACTACTTTCTCAAAATTCCTCATGTTTTTGTGCAATTTGATTTTTAATTACAATTAGTAAGATTTTTCTAGAAACATGAAAGCAAACGCTTTTTTAAAAGAGTTTTTAACAAGTAATGTTTTTAGTGACACAAAAATCTTAAAATTAAGTAAAATATTCTACAAATGTTTTAAATCTGTTTAAATTTTCAATCTAAAAAAACAGAAAAAATAACAATATTAAACTAACAATATAAAACTACCAATATAACTTTAATAATAAATAATAACTAGTGGGCTGCGCCCCCTGCTCGCTAACACTCACCAACCCCCGAAAATTGCTACGCAATCTTATANAAATAACAATATTAAACTAACAATATAAAACTACCAATATAACTTTAATAATAAATAATAATATTAACTTTCGTAAAAACACAAGTAAAAAAGTATTCCGCTCGAACGAAAATTCCTTAAATGGAACAGATTGAATAAATTTTCGTCGAATCTGATTTCGACAAATTTTGTTTTTTCGTTAATTTTGATACTAAGGTGCTTAGATTTGTTTTAAAAGTTGAAGTATTTCGTTAATGAATGTTTGAAATAATAATTAGGTAATTCATTATTTCAATAAAAAAATTTTATTTCGCTTTGTAATTTTCTAAAAGTTAAAAATTTACAAGAAAATCAAAACTGGCATATAAAAGGAGCAAAGTTAAATTCAGAAAAGTTCTTAACTATATTCAAATAAAACTTTCATTTCAAAAGAAAGGTTTAAACTCTAGATTTCTGCAAGGAAAAAAAATAATAAACTCGCAATAAATGGCACAACGCAGAAACATAGAGATTTTTTAATGACAATATCTTCGATTTTGATTTTAAGTTCAAGTGATAGAAATAATTGAAAACTGATTGAATTGAATTGTAAAGATTATTTCGCGTTTAAACATCGTGAATTAGAGAATCATAAAATTTATTAAATTATTGCAAAAATTTTAAAAACATCGTACTATTTATTTATTATCGTAAAATTGATTAAAATGTTTTGAAATTTATTGAATTATTTTGACATTTATTAAAATATTGTTATATTTATTAAATTATAGTAAAATTAATTAAAATATAATAAATTTATTATATTATCGTGAAATTCATTAAAATATCATAAAATTTATTGAAATATGAAATTTTATTTAATTTTTATTTTATATTTTAGGACCAGTCAAGAAAACGAGGAGAAAATAGAGATGGTAAGTAATCAAATAATCGATATAAGCATATAGATAAAGCATTTTTTGTGGTATTTTACTTTTAAATGTTGTGTACGCCTTACTGCGCACATCCTTTAACTAATATGAATGGAATCTAATTTGTTTATGAGTTGAAAAGTTTTACTCTTATGTCGATGCAAAATCTAATAGAAACTAATATTTTTTTATGATTTTTGTATTTTGCACTCATTTTACCTTATCATCTTCCCTTTGAGTTATTTTACCCCCACATTTATTCCGTAGTTTGTTTTGCATACGAGTATTTAAAATAAAAACTATATAAGTTACAAAAATCAATTTTATTTATAATACGGAATTTTTTCAGTAACTAAAAACGTACGTTTCTAATTGGTGATGTAATGTTAAAACTAAATTATATTTAATTGTAGCTATTGGAATTTGAGATAAATTACACATCATAAACAATGAACATCAGATCATGAAATACAATATGAGTCTTAGAATAAACTTTGATTTACACCGATCTATTCATTTTATTTTATAACCCTTGTTGAACAGCCTATCCAATTTTCGGGATTTATGACTACTAATGTTCAACTCTCAAACCTTTTAACTTTGAACTCAATACAGAAGACAAGGGAACTCCTGCATCAAGTATTGGGAGAAATTTGCCTTCGGGGAGGACTTTTCGATGGAACTAACCCGCAGTTGCGTAACATGGAGAGGAAAACTACGAAAACGTCCCAAGGTTAGAGAACCATGAAATTCTCCCACGGTTAGCCTGACGGCATGGGGACTCTAATCCATGATCCGTCTACTACTGAGGATATTTTGAGTCAGCTGTGGTCTGTGCAAACTGGATGCGGAATTCGTATCGACCAGCCACAGCTGGGATTCGAACCTGGTTCACCTCATTGAAAGGCGAACGCTCTATCCCCTGATCCATCACGGCTTCGTGATAAAATGAGTCTTAGTATGAGTTTTAAAATAGATCGTGATGTAAATTATGCGCATTAATATAAATTTATTTCGCTTACACGCATCGTGATGTGCTTTATGAGACTTAGCATACATTTCTAAATACGTTGTGATGTGAATTATGAGCATTAGTATAGATTTTCAAATACATCGTTATGCGCATTATGAGCCTAAGTTTAAATTTTGAAATACATCGTTAGGTGCATTTTGAGCCTTAGCATACATTTCGAAATGCATTGTGATGTGCATTATGAGCCTAAGTATACATTTTGAAGTACATCGTGATATGTATTATAAGCCTTAGAATAAATTTTGAATATTATTCTTACATTTTTGAATTGTTAAGTCATACACTAGAAACAGGAAAATTAGTTTTTGATTGTTGAATAAAACAGAAACTATAGAAGATTCGTAGAAAATAATACACATTAAGTACAAGAATATTTCACAAACTAGAACACTAAAATTTATTCTCCTACGCTTTTTTAAATCTCGTAAAAAAAGATTTCCCCAGTGACAAACAAAATTTCTTACAATATAAACAAAACTCAACTACCAAATTCTATTTGTTTAAAAAAAAAAGACTATTTCACTTTGGACTTTTCTATTTTTAGTTCAAGCCTTACAGCTATTTGAAAGAAAAACAGCATAAGTTTCTAAAAAAGTATCTCATCTTCTGTTACGATGTTCGAACTAAAGAAGGTGTCTATTTTTGTGACGAAATCAATTTTCGAATACCTCCACAAAAATTTAAGACGTGTTGCCGGTTATTTTATCATAAGATTTGTAGCTTTAAATTCGAGTATTTTATAAAAATAAAATATAAAGTCTTTGAAAATGGACTAAATATTTCAATATATTTATTCTTAAAGAAAGGAAAGGGAATCAGACTAAAAACAGTTAAACAAATGTATAGTAAAAGCGTTATTTGAAAGATATACTTTTTCCTAAAATAAGAATTGAAAGTAATTATTTCTTAGAGAATACTTATATTTGCTCTTAGCGCTTCAATTTTTTTTTAATGGCGGGCACTTGGGGGTTGTCCCATTGGCCACAGGAATGCCAGAACTGCTACTCTCTTCTCGTTACCCAGTGGGCACCTGTGGCGAAGCCACGGTGGTGGAGCAGCGGCACCCACGTCACACAACCACAAACCCGTTTGTAGTGCGGGTGACATTCACACAATCACACGCAAAGGAGAAAGGACATAGAACACAGAGAGAAAGAAGCATCCATGCACTGAGCAGGATTCGAACCCGTGACCAGTGGCTCCTCAGTCAGGCACGCTAACCACTCGGCCACCAGGTCGGCTAGCGCGTCAATTTAATAATAACTAAAACAATGTTCTTAACATTTGTTAAATATTTTTTGCTGCTTTGGTTTTATATTGGCCTAAATCTATGGTCAAAACATCAATTTACATTTTAATAATTCGCGTCAGATATCAAAACAGTGGATCCAATAGGAAAATTATAGCAGAGAATAATTTGAGTCGAAAGTTAAAATAATGGTACGAGTTAGCAAGTTAAAAATTCGAGTTATCAATAGTTTAGTAACTTAAATAATTAATAATCTAATAATTTGAATAATCAATAATTTAATAATTCAAATAATCAATAATTCAAAGGCTTAATTAGATAATTGCAAAAACAATACTGTTGACGTTTGTGGTATTTTGATGACGTATTTTGCTGCTTTCGGGTTTGTCTTGAACTAAATCTATCATCAAATCAACACTTTCACTATAATGATTTGTGTCAGGCATCAAAATAGTAAATCGAATGTGAATACTGCTTCAGAGAATAACTTGAATCGGGAGTCAAAATAATGGTACGAGTTAAAAATTTAAAAATTTGATGAATCAATAATTCAGTATCATATTATAATTTAATTTTTTGAATAATCAATAATTTAATAATTCAAATAATTAATAATTCAATGGCTGAATTTGATAATTGCAAAAACAATGTTGTTGACATTTATGGAATGTTTTTTACTGCTTTCGGGTTTCAACTGAACTAAATCTATTCTCCAATCGATACTTTAATTTTAGAGATTTGTGTCAGGCATCAAAATAGTGAATCGAATCTGAATACTACTTCAGAGAATAGCTTGAATCGAGGGTCAAAATAATGGTACGAGTTAAAAATTTTAAAATTTGATGAATCAGTAATTTAGTAACTTATTAAAATTTCATTTTTTGAATAATCAATAATTTAATTATTCAAATAGTCAATAATTCAAAGTTCCTAAATTGATAATTGCAAAAAACAATGTTGTTGACATTTATGGAATGTCCTTTGCTGCTTTCAGGATTCTCTCGAACTGAATCAATCTCCAAATCAACAATTTAAATTCAGTGACTTTAAATTATTCTGATCTACAATTTAAATTCTGTTATTGGAACAAACGGTTTGAAATTCAGGGATTTGAACCAGGTTTCACGGTCGTCATGGTAAATATTCGAATCAACGAGTTACTTCAGCGAATCACACCAAGACATGAATCGAGCTTCAAAACAATAGTTCGAATTCACGAATCATCTTATTGATTGAAGTCAAGGATTAACTTCCCATTGTTAATGGCTTGGGGAGAGGATTTATCGACAATGTTAACTTTCATCAATCGAGAGGTTCCCTAAGATTGAATCGAGTTAGCATGTTTTAGATACTGCCTGTCTAAGATAGGTACTCTGACCGCCACTAACTCTGCGGCAGTCTGGTGCTATGGAAACAAGAAGAGGGCATTTTAGAGAGGGTAGCTTCGATGAATGAGGTCTCTTCTCTCGCCGAAACCAGTCCTCAAGAGGGATCCGGCACCCCTACTTGAAATTACCATATCTCGTTACCATAGTCTCCGCCACAGCTCCAAACGAATGTCTGGCAGAGTACCTATCTTAGACAAACAATACTAGTGAATTGATTTTTAATAATCGCACTGGTAGTTACGCCACAATACTCCCTCACCAGAATTTTATCAGGTATAGAATTTGAGGAACGGATACTACTAGTTGTCGTATTTGCGAAAGACCGGGAGATCTGTATTAAGTTCACCGGATCTCGAGCGTTTGTCGTGAGAGCTGTATTAAGTTCAAGTGCAGTGTGTATGGTCTCTCCTGTGTGTGCAGTATCCCGTTGTGGGTTAATGAGATTGAGAAGCAACAGCGCGAAAAGGAGGAGGACGCAGTCACAATTAGCAAGTCCACTGTTCAATGTGGTTCATTCATCGAAGTGGCCGGTGTTTTAAATGTAGGCGAGTTCATATCATGTCCGCAGATCACCAATGTGGGGATGGAGTTATCGATAATGTCAACCTTCATCTATCGAAAGTAACCCCAAACTGAAATCGAGTTAGTATATCTTATATACTAGGGAATTGATATTTAATAATCGTAGTGGTAGTTACGCCGCAGTAGGAAATAATCAACACTTTTTCTGTCTCTTTTAATAAATTCTTCAAAAATTTAAAAATTGCAATTTGTGACTAAACTCAAGACTGCAAAGAAATTAAATATTCCTTTTTTTTTTTTTAATTTTAGATGATCATAACTGGTTTCTATCAAAATCTCACCTTCGTCTTCACCAAAGACCACCGCCAGTTGTTCGAGTAAAAGAAGGCGATAGTGAGTTTTTGGAATGTCAGGCTGGTGGAAATCCTCCTCCCCGGATATACTGGCTGAAGGGTGGAGAAATGATGTCAAAGGTAAGAATGCAAAATCAATTTCAAGAAATTAACTAATAAAATTTTACAATGTGTCACAAAAAAACAAGAGGAGTTTGATTTGCTGAATTTTGCTTCGGAAATCATAGAATTTCTTCACATCAAGTTTGAAAAGTTTTAGCGAAGTTCGCCAACAGATGGCACTGCTGGGTAAAAATATAATCTGTTGTTTTCTATCGAACCGCTGACAATTTCAACTAATATATTTGCCAACGTCAGATAATTTTGTTCTCACACTGCTCATTAGTGTAGCTGAAAATAATTTTTATTTTGAAAATATTGTTTGAAAGGGTTTCTCAATCAGAGGCGCCATCTTTTGAAAAACTTTATAATTATTTAAAGTTTGGCGAGAATGAATTTCTTGTTTCCTAAGTGGAACACAGCAAGCCGTATATTTCTATCCTCTTCCATTTTTCTTTGCTTGACTAATCACATCGTCAATCACATTTAAGACGTCTTGTAAGCTTTTTTATAGATATTTGTGTTGTTTTAGATAAGTGCTATATTTCGGCCTTTAATTGGCAAGTGCATAAAACCGGCATATGACTAGGATTTAAATTCTTTGAGTTCCAGCTGACTTATAACTTAAAAGCGTTAAGAACTGGATTTCATGGATTTTCCTACGACGTTTAGGTGCATTATTCATCAGCTTTTCCTGCACAGTTTTATGTGACTAATAAATATAATTAAAACATTATATTTCAGATTAATTTGCAAGACGAATTGGACATAAAAGCTTTCGAAGACAGCGAAGTGAGTGGCAATAAACTTCAAATTTCGTCCACAACTTCAAGACTTTACTTGGACTGTCTGTCCATGGATGATGAGGGAGATTATACTTGCGTTGCTGAAACTGCAAAACTCAGAGAGAGTACTTCTACGAGGATATCTGTATCATCATCGGATGAGAGAAAATGTCATGACAAGTCCATATTTGGTAATTATTTTATATTTCTTCTTCATATAAGGATGTAAACTGATTGACACTGTTGCACAAAAATATAGTAGCACCATCATTTATAGAGTATCATTTATATCTGTAGCAAATACTATAAATGTTAAACTGAACTGTAATATTGTAGTTAATACTGTGAGCTGAACCTTATACCATAATATTATGAAAATTTGCTTCACTCTTAACCCTTTCCGCAGATGGAACACTGTCTCTCTTATATATATTTTTTTTTCTGACACTGTAATTACGAGCAAAAATATATTTTGGTACATTTTAATTTTAAAAAAGTGTCTAACAGCCACTAAAAAAAATTCTTTAGGTTATCGAAATTATATTTGTACTAAAATATAAAATTTGAAGAAAACAATTTTGAAAATTTTTCTTTCTCATTCAAATTTAAAAATTTATCAGTAATTGATTTTGTAAATTAAAGTAATTTCAATGAGGAATTACTGTTTCCCTTAGATCTAAATCCCTCTTGGTAATTTTTTACATTTCTTGTTCATTTATTACTTTAATGGATGAGAACTAATTAACACTGTTGTTGAAAAATATAGTAGCACTATCATTTATAGAATAACGTTTATATCTGTAGCTGATACTATGAACATTAAAATACAGTATCTGTACTTTTAAACCATAATATTATGCAAATTTGCTGCACTCTTAGCCGGTTTAGCAGATTGGACACCAGGGTTCCTTTTATATATTTTTTCTGACCCTCTAATTACCAGCAAAAATATATGCGACGAATTTAATTTTTTTCTTCGTCGCATGGCATACGACATCGACAAAGAACGTAAAATGTACCAAAACTAGGCAGATTAAATTAATATTCTATAGTTAAAAATAATCATAACGTATGTTCTAAAAATGAAACATTTTCAAAGTAATACTTAACAACTTATTCCACTTAGTACAATTTGCGGTTTTAATTTAACCATAGCATCTCGAAAAGCTTTCATGTATAGTAATTGCTGCAATTTAGGGTACAGTGAATGCCTTTCGAATAAGGAGAGCACTTCCTAATAACAAATTGACCCAACATTAAACATTATATTTATGCAATTAAAAAAATTCGAATTCGCACCTTGCAGGACGTGCTCCTCGCATTCATCAGTGGACGAAAACAATGCTTGAGAATCAAGGTGAGAGCACTAAAATAATGTGCAGAGCTGATGGAGTTCCAATGCCTTCCATAAAATGGTACGATCCTAAAGAAAGAGAAATAGATGCAGATGAATCTGGCAGATATGAGGTATGCATAAATATTTAATTGATACAAAATATTGATTTTTACCATGTACAAACTGTTTTGATAATTTTGCAAAAGTTTTGCAAAAGTCGTTTTGCAATGATAATTTTTTGCAGAAGTCGTTTCGCTTTGATAACTACTAAATTCTTAAAGTCATTAAACTAATAAGTAATATCAACCTATCTTGTTTTAAATAAAAAGGAACAATACCGAATTTTTAAAACATCGGTTATATTTTTTTGTACACAATTCGGTAGTTTACAAACAGGTGATAAAACTCCTAATACCTTATATTTCATCTTAGTAGGAATGCACAAAATTAGATTTAAATTTCTATTCATGTAAAATATATTTTATAATATATTTTTAAATAACAATGTATAACAATTACATATACGCATTGTAATTTATTATATATATAAATATTAATTTATTTTCATAAATAAATGCCCTATAAATTATAATATATTTTAAATAAATAGCACTGGGTAATAACATTTTTCTTGCATTTGTACAAATACTTGATCTTGCCTAACTCGGGTAAAGGGATTTCAGATCTGAATAAAGTTTTACTCCTAATACAACAGATTTTTTTTAAATTAAAATTTTAGTCTATTTCATGTCGAAAATGTACAAATTTAAAAACGTTATATGTAATAATATTCGATATCATGAATGTTGCGACAAACGTCAAAGAAAGTCGGAGCATATCATAAATTTTCAAACTGTATAAGAACCAATAAGAATGTACAAAAGAGTAATGTAAGAGTAGTTTGAGAATGTACAAAAATGTAAATATTTAGAAAAATATGCAATAAATTGTAACTAAAAAGATCTGTAAGTTAAGAGATTAGAAGCATTTATTAACTGATTTTTCCATTCTATTAGTATCTGTTATAAAAGAGGTTAAATTTTTCAAATTATGTTAAAGCGAAATTTTTGATAGCCTATTAAAATTACTTTTCAGAGATTAACGAAATAATCCCAAGAAACTGAAGCGATAAGATATTACTTATTAAAAACTCCATTTACTTCAAAAATATGTAAATAGAAAATAACAGCCGACATGTTCCAAGCGCTCAAAAACAGACGTCCATTTTCAGGACTTGTAAGCCTGAATGAGAAGAAACAAAAATTATCTGAAATATGAAGCGAAAAGTTGACAACAAAAAATTGAGAAATATAGGGAAGAAACGAAACAAGCAAAACCACAGTTAACGACATTAGTTTCTCAAAACCTCTCAATAGAGATTGGAAATGCACTTTACCCTGATTTGCCTCTCTCGACCACTGTGTTTTTTCTTGTTCTGTTTTTCGTCTTTTTTGTCTCAGCTACTATGTTTTCTCTGGTTTTGTTTCTCACCTTTATTTTTCCATTTCTCGTTGGCAACTTTTCGTTTTATATTTCAAATCATTTTTGTTTCTTCTTATTCATGTCTGACAAATCTTAAAAATGGGCGCCTGATTTTGCGCTCTTGAAACAAGTTTACTTATTTCTTATTTATATATTTTTGAAGCAAACGAATTTTTAATCAGATAATACTGTTTAGAGCAGTGTTTCTCAAATGGTGTTCCTCGGAACTTCAGGGTTCCGACAGTCAGGGCAATTTTTATTAGTTACGATATCAATATTCAGTAGCGAAAAAAATTGGGAACCGCTGATTTAGAGATCCAAGTCAAAATTTTTGACGGTATTCTATAGATGGACCAACATAATCTTGATGGCAACCATCAATAATTCCATCATGAACCATTATATTTTTTGATAGTAACCAACATAAGTAACTATCACCCCAGTGTAGGAGCTCTGACTGATTTACGATGGTCCAACATAAGAATAGCAATTTGTTTTGATGGTTGTTCATGTCCATTTCCATCTTAATTTCTTAAAAATCAAATCTTGGAACGGTCATGAACCACCATCACCTCAATGTAGGAATTCGGTTTGGTTTATGATGGGTCAACATAAAAAAATTAAATGTTTTTGATGGTATATTCCTGTTGAACCAACAATTATTCCCATTAAATCATGGAAATGGAACCATCACGGATCATCATGAATTGTTGGTTCATGAGAATCAAATTCTCTTGATGGTTAACCATCATAGTTTTAAAGTAGCCTTTTCCACCATGGAATGATGGAAGTTTGTTGGCATATGAAACACCATGAGCATAGAATGGAAATTGCTGGACTATGGTGGAATGATGCTGTACCATCATGAATCGCACTGAAACAACCAACATAAACCATCAAAAAGTTTTGATGGAACCATCAAGAATTTTGACTTGGAGAGTCTAAAATTTATTTCTGTGAAAAATCACTTAATATCGCTCCCTAAAATTGCTTTATTCAAAAATTTTACACGTTATGATTGTTTGATATATGACAGTGGTAACATTTCTTTTCCTTCAGGTTTTACCTAGTGGAGATTTAATCATCAGGAATCTAAAATGGAGTGACATGGGAAATTATGTTTGCGTGGCAGAGAATGCTCATGGCGTAGCACAAGTTGAAGCATTTGTATATCCGGCCAATGTAAGTCATTTACAATTCTTCAAAAAGTACACGACTTAGACTGTTTTAAATAAGGTACGACCTGATGCAGTTAAGCAGATAAACAAAATAGTATTCATCTACACTTTCAAATGATTTGGTTTAAAGTTGTACCTTAAATCGTGGTACCTCAATATGATAAAAGCTTGATAAAACTTTAATGGAGTACTAAATGCCATGTTACCGATGAAGTAAGAATTTTTAGGTATTGGCCGTCTTTGGCGACCAGCTTGGTCACCTTTCAAAATTATCTTGTACAACATTCTAAACCTTTTTTTAAATTTTTTTTTATTTCCTATGGCAGTTTATAGACAGTAACAGCATACATAAACATCTAAAAATAAGAGCAGAAACAAAAGATGCTGCAACAGAGTCTATTAATCACAACATGTCTCTAGCTTCCCAATAGCGTTCAGTGATAGAACTCCTGCAAAGTGCAGAGCAGCGGAGAAGGTGCGTGGAGTCCATGTCCTCACCAGAACTGCAAAGAGTACATACCGGGGAAAGAACGATACCAAATCTTGACATGTAAACTTTAAACGTAACTAAGCCGGACGCGCAGCGCAACTTTATTTAATGATGTCGACGTCAAAATTTGATGTTTAGACACTGATGAAGGTTCTTGTTTATAGAACTGAAACTATAGTGTGTCACTTTATGTACTTTCAATGTCTTAGGTATTTCGTTGTCTTTTGATTAAAATTCCTAAACTTTTTTTCCAATGCCCACCTGAAGAATGACCTATGTCATACAGGCATCTGAAAGGCACATTAGCTGGCCAATCTATCAGGCACATTATATTAGTTGGGCCAACGTTGCTCCCACGGTAGGGACAGATAGCACAGAGAATGAAAGAACATTCGTGCCTTGCCTGGGATTCGAACCCAGAACCTTTCTGGTGCAAGGCCAGTTCCCTGATCCCTGAGCAACTTCTTGAAAGGTTTTGGGTTACGGTTACATCTCCTATTATAGCAGTTCTGTGAAAAGAAAAATTTCAATTTAAATTGCAAGAATTTTCTCAGATTCCTAAAGGAATCCCGATTTGAATTGCATTATAGTTTAGATATTTTATGCTGTGAATAGCTTAAATGTCAAGCTTAATTATCGCGTGTTACAATTTTATTTAAACGATGAGTTACTGCGGGTCGAAGTTGGAAAGTTTATTCTCATTCCCTGGTGTATCGATACTTTTGATTTTAGTAGTAATGATTATGAGCCACGATGAATCAGTGGGGAAAAGCGCTGAGCCACCGTTGTAAAGAACTAGGGCTCGATCCTCAGTGACAGCTTTAGGCCCACACACCTTCAGATGAATGGGTACTAGCTTGTCTTGGAAGTAAAGGCGGCATTGTGCACAATGCTGTTGTACAGTCACAATCATGTCGTTGGTTACGAAAATGTGGAGTTTTAATCTTCAACCCCCCCCCCCCGACCTATAACGTGATGCTGCGATAAAGCTTTTTTTGTCACTATACTAAAATAATATTTAGTTATTTCGGTGTAATAGTGTTCGTTTAAAAGCATTTAAAAAACAAATCATGTTATCAGATCATTATTTAAAATGGGATCCGTATGTAACTGAAACCAAAGATAAAAGAAACAATGGGAAAGAGGGGGAAAGCTTTGCTTCTATGATGTTTATTATTGCAATAACATCCTTGCGTCGAAATGAAGTTTTCTGAATTCAATTGTCTTCTTACGGTGCACTGTGGGCCAGAAGACCATGATCTTTGGCCAAAAGTCAAAAATTAAATTTTTAACTAAAATATGTGTAGGCAGTTTTAATATAGTCCAAATTAAGTATTCATAATCATTCAAAACATTATAATTTACTTTTTGGACAGACTAGAGTACAATGTAATGAAAAATATGTTTAAAAAAAATTTTTTTTAATGTAATTTTTAAATTTTTACTTCAGAAATATATATAGGAATTTCCCCTTACTGTTACATTTTTATCAGAGTAATTAGTCTGAAATTATAGTGATTGAAAAAAA